TTTTTTTTTTTTTAAATAAAATTGTGAACGCATCAATTAAACAAGAGGGACGAATATCCGTACGACGTTTCCCCAGGGAGGGATTAACAGAGTGAGGAGGGGTTGGAAGGGGTTGGAAGGAAAAACAAGGGTTTCTCTAGAATATCTCCAGGAGGAATTCGAAATCGTCGAAATTTCTGCTGAAAATTCGCACCCACACGCCACTCCTCCATCCCCCTATCCTGAGTTTTCCATCCATCCATTGAGTTTATTTCGAGCGGGATTGGGCCGGTGCGAACATCGATTTTCTATTTATGGAATATAATTTAACCAACATTATTGCGGTATTACGACGACGTTAACGTCATCCAACCACACGAGCCACCCCTCTCCAGGGAGGATTTAATATTTCTTAAGGGTGGTTAGGATGATCGTTCTCTGTTCGAGTTGGTGGCCGCGTTTAATTGGCTTGCACGCGATTCGTTTGCTAATTCACGAGGATTTAATCTCTTCCGTGGGCCGGAAGCGGTATGATAATTTATGGATCTTTGTGAGTCGAAGCGAGTTTTAAAATTTTTTTTAAAAATCTGTTCGACGAAGAACGCTATTTTCGAGCAAATTGTGTTTCTCTTATTTGATCGATATTGTGACGTTTCTTTCTCTTTTTCACAAAGGTAAAAAAAAACGTAATAAGTACTCAAAATTATTTAATTATCACCAATTCGTATAAGAGATAAGTTGAAGGAACAATTGAGATTAATATTTGTCTAGGGAATAATTTAGGGAATTTTAATAAATAACCCACGAACATATTTATTGGAAATATCATTATTCAACTTTTCATCGTTTGAATAAAATCTTGGCTAAGGGTGGTAAAAGTAAAGATAATTGATGGGATAGATCTTGAAGTTAATGGAGTCTCTCTTTTTTTTTTTTTTAATCCCAGTCAACTTAAAACGATATGAAATTGTACATCTCTCTTCTCTTTGAATTCTCTCTTATATCTAAACTTAATTAATAATTGTTTATCATCGGATAGAAAATTTTTTAATTTTTCACAACACTCGTTCTGCTTCGAGAACGTGTAATTATTATTCATTTAGTGGTATCCTAACGAGGTTATAATTATAAATTGAATTAATTATAGAAAGATCAATTTTTGTATTGTTAATGAATTTTCTATTTTTTTTTCCCTCCCACTTTTATATATCCCGGTATAATACACTTTCTTTTCAATTATTGATTAGCTTTCGCGTTAGTTATATAGGCAACAATGTTATAATTTTAAAAATACTAATTATTATTGACGTCGCTATCATATTCAACGCATTTGACGTCAAAAGGTTGCAATTAAATTTCCACGAAATTGGACTTTTATTTTTTAACCGATAAATTCAATTTTAAATTTCCCTTTGACATTAACTACGAATTAATTATATATATATATATATATATCAGAAATGATAATTATCGCCACTATATACTCGTACATAAATCGTTTCGAAACGATTTTTATTCTCTTCCCTCCATTTTTCTCCCTATGTTCAACTGTCACTTTTGGTTCAAACTAGAGAACGCACGATCACGGTTTATTAAATATCGGTGCTTTGACGTTATTACCATCCACGTAATTGCATCGTTAATTTACTTGTGAGCAATTTAAGGGATAATTAGTCGTTCGATTAGCGGCAAGCACGAGTTCCGTTTATCGAGAGAACCGCGGATGAACCGCGTGCACTCAACGACTTCCGGTTGCGATGCGGTGAAAATAAAAAAAATTTTGGACGAGGGCGAAATTTTTATTTTATAAATAAATAGGCTTTTTTTTTCTAATAAGAAAAAAAAATTGCACGTTATATTTTCTTGAAGTTGATTGTTTATATCAAAATTATATTAATTGTTTCAAGATTCTTGTGTGAAGATAATTCTTTTTTTTAAGAAATTGATTCTGAGAATTAGTATGAAAGTTAATTAAAAATTTAAAAGATAATTCATCTTTTTTCTTAATAAATTAATAATTTCCAATAATTTAATTATTTCTTTCTTCCAGTATTTTTTTTAAATTATACAAAATCTTTTATTGTCGAATAATTTTACTTAGCAAGCCGCAAATATCACTTGAAATCAGGTTAAAATTCTAGGGAGAAAATTAATAAGCCGGCAGATTCGTTCGAATTTTCGAAATTTCAAAATTAGCTTTCGTTTAGATTGAGAAAGCTGGCCTTAGAACGCTGTTGAGCAACAGCCCCGGGACGTTACTTAGCAATTTCTGGTAATTTACTTCGTTATAACTTACGATGCCGAGTTTAGTCTCCGTGGTTCCAGTTCAGTGGAAGTACAATGATGTCGTTAATGTTGTTTCCCAACGTTCCACGGGATGAATTCGGGACAAGGTGTCCATGAAAATCATCGATACAGAGACGAATTAATGCCAAATTATATTTATATTTTATTATATTTGAATTCGTCGTCGAAGGAAGCCTTTTCAAGGGAATAAAAATTGAAGAGATCGCGCCTTTTCTTTCTTTTTTTTCTTATCAATTTTACAAAATTAAGTTATATTATATATATAATAATTATAATTTTTCTTGTGTAACTTGTTAAATTTATTACTCAAAATTATTTAATTATCACCAATTCGTATAAGAGATAAGTTGTATTGAGATTAATATTTGTCTAGGGAATAATTTAGGGAATTTTAATAAATATCCCACAAACATACACATATTTATTGGAAATATCATTATTCAACTTTTCATCATTTGAAAAATATAATTAAATCTTGATATTACAAAAAAAGAAAATAAAAGATATCCTAAATATCTCTTGAACACAAACACACACATACACACACACATATATATATATATATACATATACAAGAATTCAACATTTATTTATCGACAAAAACCATTATTTCATTCGTCATATCGATTCTAAAATTCGATTAATTTAACAAAGAAAAGATAAATCGTGGATTTATTTTCGAATTATATAAAATAGAAGATAAAATCTTGGTAATATTTAAGAGATCGTCGAGTAGGGCGTCAGAGATCGTCGTCAGAATCCCGGAATCGTTCGTATTTCGCCACTGATTTCTGGAACGTCTCGTAATCCCTCTTTTCATCCTGCTGGGTTAACAATTTCCTCCTCTCCAGCGTTAGGTATATGAGCAGAGGGCAATAGGCAATGTTCATTAACCCGATCACTCGCATAACCCATTGGAAACCGATCGTCTTCGCCATCTCTCCACCCGCTATGGGCCCTTAAACACGAATACAAATTATCCCTTCCTTAAAATATTAATTAATATTTTAATATTTTAAAATTATACAATTATTTATAAAAAAGAAATTATATATTTTGATAAGCAAAAGTAATATTTAAACAACTTGTAGAATAGATTGCAATGAATGAAAACTCGGTGTCTCTTTTCTTCT